TGGGCATCAAAGAAACTCCACATGGAGTTTACTTTCTTTGTGGCAAAAATGAGATACTGGGCAAGAAAATGCCCCTGCCTCAACTGCTGACATATATACTAATTGAATAAGCAAAACACAAAAGAGAGTGACTGCCAAACATTGTCCAGACAAAGTGGCAGGGCAGCCCTTCAGAATATCCTGCTTCACAGAAAAGTCTGTTGCCTAATGTAGGCATTACACAATGCGCAAAAGTACTGGTAACCACTAAGTAAGCACACTGTATCTGTCAACTAAAATTATTTTAGAGCTAGGGCAGTGGTTCAGTAGATAAAGTATTTGCCACAAGAGTGAGGATCAGAGTCCGGATTCTCCAAATCCGCATAAAAACCGGTGTATGCACCTGTAATCCTGGATGTGTGTGTGTATGCAAATGGATAGTTAGGACAAAGTTCCTCATTCGGGGAGAGGATCTGCCTCAGAAAATGAAGCGGGGGTGGGGGGTGGGGTGGGGGGGTGGGATCACCCAGGAAGAACTAAAGCCAACCTCAGGCCTCCACAAGCATTTGCATGTGTGTCCCGGCACACCACCAAAGTGCCCATACTCTCATGAACACAATACACACACATACTAAAGGTTTTGTTGTTGTTTTGTCTTAGCTCAACATATTTAATTTGAGCCTGGGAATTGCAGAGAGGCAGCTGAAGATCATCCTCGGCTACAAACCAAGTTCACCAGCTTCACAAAGGGACGTTGCCTTAAGACAAAACATCCACCCTTAAGCCTCCAAACCCTACACACTCCATTCTAATTCACTATATATGGAGTGAGTCCCTGGATCCTGCAGCTTCTAAGTTTATGTTCTCTAACCGACACATTCCTCAGCAGAGGCTGAGCAGTGCATAGCGCCTTTTAGCCCTAGGTAGAAGGCTACTGATAACAAGCCCAGCTTAAACGCGGCTGGGGGGAGAGGGGGACGGACCCACGGCAGCAGAAAGAAAGGCCTCCATCTGCAAGCAGCGGCGGCTTGACGTCCGCTCTGGGTGCTTTCACACCCCGGGTCTCTGAACGTCAGCCCACGAGGCTGCAGATGTGAGCGGGGGTTGGGCAGCCGGGTCCTGGGGTCGGGCTCAGATCAGAATCGCCTCGGTAATCAGCGGCCGGGACAGACCCGGCCTCGTCTATCTGATCAATTCATCACTTCTGAGCGCCGGGCCCGCAGGACCGATCCCGAGACCTCGGGAACCTCGGCACTGCCACCGCCCAGGGGGGCCTCGCTGCACAGCGCCCCGCGGAGGGGGCTTCGCAGGAGGGCTGCTTTTCATTTCGGGACGGCCCGGCGGGGCTGGGGTCACGACCCGATCAAATAAGATCAAGGTGTAGGCGGGGGAGGGGCGCGGGGCGGACACACTCACTCGCCTCGCACACCCCAGGCGCGCACACACACTCCCACATCCACACTCGCACTCAGCCCACACGCGCCATGCACGAAACACCACACCACACTAAACTAGCTCCGTCCAGGACCCCGGCCACGCTCCCACTCGCGAGGAAGCGGAAGCTGCACTCTCTTTTAAACGCTCTGTCCTGTCTCAAAGGATTCTGGGAGGAGCCACAGAGTGGTCCGGCAGCGCCCTCAAATCAGCTTTTTACCCAGAGCACTCTCTTCTGCCTCCGTGTGGCTGGGAGGTCCCAGAACAGAGGGACCGATTTCCATAAACAGAATTGGGTTTAGAGGTATTTTGTTTACAAAAGTCTTAAGTAGCCCAATCTGGTGTCCTACTCAAGATCCTTCTGCTTCAGCTTCCTGGTGCTGCGATTACAAGCTGACAGAAAGGCCGACTTCTTTACAATGTACCAGTTTATATAAAATGTAAATGTTTATATCCTTGTCTAGTTTTTCTTTGTTTTTTTTTCTTTGACCCAAATTAAAAAGTATCCAATTTCGCCGGGCGGTGGTGGCGCACGCCTTTAATCCCAGCACTCGGGAGGCAGAGGCAGGCGGATCTCTGTGAGTTCGAGGCCAGCCTGGTCTACAAGAGCTAGTTCCGGGACCGGCACCAAAGCTACAGAGAAACCCTGTCTCGAAAAACCAAAAAAAAAAAAAAAAAAAAAAAAAAGTATCCAATTTCTAGCTATGAAAATGATCCAGTCGCAAACTTATATGTGAATGACCTTATTTTCCGTGGACTTAGCAACCCTAGATTATTACTAGCAAAAGCATCCTGCGAACACTCTTACAGGCGTGCTTTCTCGCTGACAATAAACATCATTTATCACATGTATTGGCAGAGGAGCGCAGTGTGTCATGGTGCACGTGTCGAGGTCAAAGGACAACTTGCAAAGAGTCGATTTTCTAACTTGTGAGTCCTGAAATCAAACTCAGCCTGACAGATTTGGTGAGCAGGCGCCCTAACCCACAGAACCACCTAGTAAGCCTATAAGTATCATTTATTCAAAGTCCTTAAAGAAACCGAGTATCTGTAAAATGGAGACATGTACGACCGAATAACCCTAGCTTCACTTATACAGTATCCTGGCTGCCCAAAACGATGCCCAGTGTCATATTGCTGAGCCTCCATTTACATTCAGTCCATTAAAATAGATCTTTGTGCGAGGCACAGTGGTGTATGTCTTTAACCCCAGCATGTGATTGGCAGAAGCAGGTCGAACCTCTGAGTTCAAGGCCAGTCTAGTCTACATACTAAGTTACAGGAAAGCCGGGGGTACATAGTCAGACCCAAATAAATAAAAATAAATCTGATTTTCCAATTCCACGAGTGAAATGACAGGTAGATTTGTCTCTCACCACAGAGAGCAGGTTAATATTTCATCCTCAGTCCTTTTTCAATAAGGGTGGGGTGTGTGGCAAAGTAGACGAATTTTAGCCGTTAGAAGAAAATTATTTCTGAAGCTGTAATTTGTACTTGTGCCAGTCCTTACTTGGCACTTTCAACAAACAGACATGGAGGAAAGTACCCAAAATACGCTCCAGAATCCCATTGCTCAGATATTTTCTAAGGCCTGGGTGGTTAACCCGGAAACCCTTTAGAATGGAATTCACCAATAATGGCATTGTCTCTAATCATGGGCCTGTTGGTTGAGTGTATTAGCGGAGCTACCTGCCTCATTTAGTAGACTTCATCTTTGACTTGCTATATTCCGCTCCCCCAGGAGAAAGCTTGGCCAACATATCTTCTGAACTCTATCAAGTCCCAGTAACCTTCACAAGGAACTCATCCGAGGACAGTATCACGCAGGTGAGCCAGCACGCCACGCTATGGGAAGAACCCAAGGAAGTGCTGAGCAGGTCAATAAACATACACAACAAATCAGACAACAGTCACAGGGGAAAAAAAAAAGTTTATTTTCAAGGACTGTGCCAACAATGGTGAATAAAAAATGGTATTTCAACTATAAAAAGGAGCTGATTTCATTTAATCCTGGTGCACAGGGTTCGTGGTAATGAACCTGAATCTGAGGCAATATTGCTACCCTCACACCTCCACCCCTAGAGGAACAATTTGTCAGTTTTTGAGAGCCATCAGCCTAGATAATAAGTACAGCAGGTTCCTATGTAGCTGCTTACACAAAGTCAAGAGTTAAGAAGTAAAACAGGCTATTTGCTTCTTCATGTACTTTTTGGAACATTCTGGTGAGAAAACATCTTAAAATCTACCAACTCAGGCATTTAGGCCAAGAGGACCCTTGAAGGAGACTCAGAATGAAAAGCTGTCTAAGAAATGAAGCCGCTCTACAGACCACAGCTGGAGACATCAGCCCTACTGGTGACAACAGGTCGCCAAAACCGAAGAAACTAGTGCTGAACCTGCCTCCCACGGGACACCCAACTCACAGGCGGGCTCTATCTCTCCAGACCCACCAGATTTCGTCTCTCCCCTGTGAACAGTCCTCAGGAATGACCACGGAAACAGCAATCGTTGCAATCCGCCCCGTGGACGAGTTCTTGGAGAGAGATGCTCACGCGTGCAGTGCTTTCTACTGCTACAATCACAGCACTCAGAGGCATCGAACCTAAGCTCCCAGCAGCCTTGTCCTGTAGCGTGTGCAGACCAGCGCTGGTCCTCAGGCTCTACCATGGACAGTTCAACTGGACCGCCTGTGTAGACCCTGCTGTATTAGCATTAATATTAGACCTACTTTAAGGTTGTTGTAGACTTTACAGCTAACAGCTGATTCTTTTGCAGGCATAAGGAGGAAGGGGCGGAGAAGTCTTCCCTTCAAATGTTGAGTCATCTAACATCATCTGCTCAGGAAAAGCCCTGAATACTCAGCTGGAAAGCTCCATTTTCCTTTACTCATTTTATTAATGGATTCTATGAGCTGTCCAATATGTTAATATCGGGACCCCTCTCATTTCGATTTCTCATGGTCTTATAGTAAAGACAACAGTGGACCACTGCAGTGTGAAGAAAACTGAGAGCTGGCAGGGAACAACTAAACACTGCTGTAACCCAGAATAAAGAAGCTTGTGTCTTTTATAACATGACAGAATTCCCAGCTATATAAGCTTTCATTACAGTAAATTCTTATACTAAATGAATTTACTAGTATATGAATTGTTATACTAATTTACTTATCTCTTCTACCAGAATTCCAAATATATTAATTAATTATTCATTCAATAGTTCCCTCCCCTGGCATTGGTATTTAAAACCAAGTAACAGTACTTAGCACTATGTAATTTAAAAAACTTTAGAAAATAGCAAGAGTTGGTTCAGTTTCTGCTATCAGTTGGTCAAGTGGAGTCATCTTTGGGAACACTAGTAAGCAGCAAATGCTTCCTGGTCTCAGTCACTGCTTCTAGTCTCCAACTCTAGAACCCTGGATTGCACATACGCTCAGATTTTCTTGGGAAAACCCTCAAGCTACAAGCACATGGCAATCTGCGCTCTCTACACTGAAATTCATGCTCTCTTCAGCTCATTTCAAACCATTTCCTGGCCTTTCATAACTCCTATTTCTCACCCAGTCCCACCCTCCCTCCCCAATTCACGAGATCCAAATTAGCCAATAAAAAAGTCAAGCCTTAAAAATTATCTTCTGGCACACACCTTTAATACCAGCACTCAGGAGACAGAGGTAGGCAGATCTCTGTGAGTTTGAGGCCAGCCTGGTCTACATTGAGAGCTTGACGACAGCCAGGGCTATGCAAGGACCCAGTTTCAAAAAAAAAGAAAAAAAAAAAGTCTCCCCTTCCAGGAAGTCTGAATACAGTCTGTATCCTTATATCCTTCCCTGATGAGTCTCAGTTCTAATGAGACCGAAGAGCAAAATAGATGACCAGTTTACGGTTTTTTTTTTTTTTTTTTTTTTTTAGTGTTGGGAATCAAACCCAGGACCCTGACAATGCTAAACAAATGTTCTACCATTGAACTCCAGGTTTTTTTAAGCAGAAGGTACATAATCATATATCCAAGGGGTGTGATTTATCTGGAGATATATACTTGCTGCTGAGGGCTGATTAACAGAGAAATCAAGAAAAGTTGGCTTTCTGGAGTCCCCTGGAGCAAAAATAATGTTCGTGACCATGAGTTCCCCCACATATGGCAGACAGATGCTGCAGTGTCATCTTAGGGACACTGGTGATTCTAGCTGAACTCTCCTACACTGGTCCAGGTTTCCGGCAAGTTCTTCATCTTTATCCCCTTGGTTGGCAGTTCACGAATGGGATACTTGGGAATTCATTTGATAAACAGGACGTAAAAGGCCATTACAATGCAGGCAATTGCAACAGCAGCATGCAGTCGGGTCCCAATCACAGCAGCTAGAAGACAGAAGTACAGAGATGTTACATGCTGCTCCTCACAAAACCCTTGCTTCCAAAGCCATGTTCTGAAACCTCTAAAGAGAACCAAAGTTTCCAGAGTCTTGGAATGTTCTTAAATGATATATTATGCTCTAGGCTCTACATGATTGCTTATCCCCTTGATCCTTCTTATTTTTTGAGATGGAATCTCACTATGTAGCCCTGGCTGGCGTCGAATTTATAGGTAGAACAAGAATGTCTTTGAACAGCCGGGCATGGTGGCGCACGCCTTAAATCCCAGCACTCAGGAGACAGAGGCAGGCGGATCTCTGTGAGTTCGAGACCAGCCTGGTCTATAGTTCCATGACAGGCTCCAAAGCCACAGAGAAAGCCTGTCTCGAATCCCCCCTCCAAAAAAAAAAAAAAAAAAAAAGAATGTCTTTGAACACATAGGAAACTACCTGCTTGTCTGCCTCGGTCCCAAATACTGGGATTAAAGATGTGTGCTGCCATGCCTGGCCTCCCATTCCTTTTTGAGTCAAAAGTTCATTATGCAGCCGGGCGGTGGTGCCCACACCTTTAATCCCAGCACTCGGGAGGCAGAGGCAGGCGCATCTCTGTGAGCTGGAGGCCATCCTGGTCTATAAGAGACAGGACAGGCTCCAAAGCTACAGAGAAACCCTGTCTCGAAAAAACAAAAACAAAAAACAAAACAAACAACAACAACAACAACAAAAAGTTCAGTATGCAATGTAGGCTGGATTTGAACTCTTGAGTGCTAGGATTACCGGTATGTAGAACCATGCCTGTCCCTATTTTACCCTATTTTGAAAACATAGTTCCGTAGGATTCCTGATGAAGGTACTCAAAATAACAAAGTTAATATATGTATATTATTTGAGCTAAAAGGTAAGGTTCCAATGTGTTCTGCTAAAAAAAAAATCAGTGGATAGGCTGGAGATGTTGGCTCAGTGGTTAAGAGCACCTGTTGTTCTTTCAAAGGGCCTGGGTTCGACTCCCAGCACCTATAGGGAGGCTTACCACTTCCTCAGGCACCAGGCATGCATGTGATACACAGACATACATGCAGGCAAAGTATTCATCTGAATAAAATAAATCTAAAAAAAAATTTTTAAAGTGATGGAAAAATATTCTTCCTGCTAGGAGGAATTTCAGCCCAGCCTAAAATTATATAACTTGTAACATATCCCCACCTCACCCCAGAACACAGAATATTACTCTGTTGCTCACACAGGCTTCTTGGCCTTCCAAGTAACTGGGACTATAAGCATGTACCACACTTGGCACTGTAGACTTTTACTTAATCCTAGAATACCAAAACTACCTAAACAGTAAAATAAACAACTATGCCTTAAGTAACAACAAATTTAAATTCCTCTTCCCTCAAATGCAGAAATGACTATTTTATATTATTAACAGATGGGCAGAGCACTTTCCACACAAGCATGAGGACCTGAGTTAAAACCCCAGAAGCCACAGAAAGCTGGCCAGAGTCACACATATCTGTACTCTCAGTACTTCCGGGAAACTCCTAGAGGCTCACAGGCTGGCTAGCCAGGTGTGCAGAGCAGCAAACACACACCCACAACACATCATGCTAAAGACGAACGTAAACATAACCATGGCCATGTGCTTTCTAGTTTACAGAACCTCGCCGTCAAGAAATCTTTCTTCTGTCGGGCGGTGGTGGCGTACGCCTTTAATCTCAGCACTTGGGAGGCAGAGGCAGGTGGATCTCTGTGAGTTCGAGACCAGCCTGGTCTACAAGAGCTAGTTCCAGGACAGGCTCCAAAACCACAGAGAAACCCTGTCTCGAAAAACCAAAAAAAAAAAAAAAAAAAAAAAAGAAAAGAAATCTTTCTTCTCTCTGTGTCCAGATAAAACCTTACCTTTGTAAAACACACCCCAAACTCCCTTCTTCTCTGAGAGCAGCCAGGTTTTGAGACGAGGTACTTTCTTGAAGTAGGCACAGGTGCAAACAAAGAGCAAACCAAACACCAGAATCCCGTCCAAGGAGTACACTGTCACATGAAGAAGAAGAAAAGGTCTTTGGTGCTGCTCTCTCTGGCTTGGGGGAGGGGAGCCTGCCCAGAGCTCAGTGCTGAGGTCACCTCAACAGCAGTGCCAACACTCAACAGGAAGGGTCCGACACCTAGCAACTTCCCCAACTTGCTTGTAAACAGCCTCTTTTTACCACTTTACTGCCCCATCCTCAGGACAAATGGAAAACGGGTGTATTTGTGCAGACACTTGGGAGTAACTGGTGCTTATACGAGATTTTAAGGATCTTGAGAGTCTGAGCATAAAGATTTACATATGTTCTTGGTATAAATCACTCATCTGATGAAGGAAAGTTCAATCTTAAGCCAAGTTTTTCGGATCTGCATCTTTCGATAAAGCATGTGAAGGCAGACCATAAAGCTTAGTGGAAATTCCAAGCATTCGACTTCATATGGCTACACTTTTGCTATACTCATTTGATACTTCAAGCATGAGTCACCATTTACAAATCAGATTCCTGCCAGAACAAAACATGTGCATAAGGGGAAAAAAGATAAGAAAATTTGACATCCAAAAAGTGCATCCACAATGAGGCACTGCCGTGATACTGGCATTAGCCAAGCTCAGCCTAAGCTACAGAGGGAGACCGTGTCCTACAGATGTGTAGGCAGGGCTGACCTTAAACCAGGCTCTGTCCGCTTCCCTCTCGCCAATGCCAGGCTTCAAGGCATGCCACATACATCATGCAAAGTCCAGAATCAAAAACAACCACAACAAAAATGTGTTCGATGCTTAGACACCATGGCAAGCTCTTAGCTCTGTTTCATGTGTTATATAGGTAAGCAAAACGAATTACATAAAGGTAAATTCTATCCACTACACCAGAATGTGTTTCCTAGTTCACATTATGTCTTCCTCTGGGTGATATTCCTTTTCTAACTCTGTGTACTGTGGTAAGACTGACTACCCAGAAAGCTTCTAATGGATATTACATCCAACCAGTGTCTGCCAGCTCCTCCCAGTTCTGGACCACACTGTCTTCCTCTAGGGAAACTATCACAGCTAGTTCCAGAACATCAATACACTCACAGTTGTCATGGACACCTTGATATGCTGCTCTTTTGCTCCTGTAAGTTCTTCTAGGCAATGCCAAAATTCACAAGGACGTGACATTTGAGTCTTCCCGTGTTAAGTCTATAAAAGTCTATGAGAAATGCTTTCTGAGCCCCTCCAATTATTTTTTTAAAAAAAGCTATTTCACTTCCTTTCCTGCAAGACTGGCTATAAAGGTCTTAATTCCTCCTCTAGAACTTGGAAGGCATGACTATAAAATCGTTTGAAGCAGCCTGGAAAAGTTAAGTGAGCTAAACGGGGGGGGGGGGGGGGGGGGCGCAAGTCCTCCATCAGTAACAAAAGGCGGCTTCTAAATCCACCCTTTGCAACATAAGCCAGAAGCTCCAGATGGAACCACCCAGCTAGGACTTGAAAGCCAAACAAGTGACGGCTTTTTGTCATAAAAACAAACATGCAAAAAAGTTTGGGGATTGTCTACATTCACCTCCCCCGTAAAGTGTGGGGGGGGGGGTTGATACCATTTCTACGTCCTCTCAACCAGCCTACTGTCCGAAAATATGAGACTTTAGGGAACCTGATGATACCCTCTGTTCCCTGGGGACTAACAGCACTAATTCTATGGTGACCGACCTCCCCAGTGGCCAGAACCAACTTCTAGGAAAGAAAAGAGAGAAATGATAACCAAAAAGTCAGATGTGGGCACTAGGCAGTGCTGGGGAACACTGATGGAAGTGAGAAGAGGGAACCTGCGAGAAGCATCCCAGACAGGAGTTAGGGGCTCCCCAAGGCCCAGGGGGGCTGGGCTGGGAGGGGGCGGGGGGAACGGCCACGTCAGTCTAGCCCCGCCCGCCACGTTTGTCCCCCGTCATCTACCGCCACCCTCCGCTCCGGCCTCCAGCTCTCACCGTTCGTCATGGCGGTAGGGCCCGGCCGGGATGAGGGTCTGGGTTCAGCAGTAGCGGCGGCGAAGGCGGGGGCTCCCGGCTCCCACTTTGACACTTCCCGATCCGGGCCTGGGTGACGGAGACGAGCCGTAGTACGCAAGCGCAAGGGCCGAGAGAAGAACGCCGAACTCAATCAGACATAACTAGCAGATAGTCGAGCTAAGGACCCTCCTTTCCTAGTGTCGGCGTCCCTGCCTAGCGTGAGACGGGCGTGGCCGGCGAGGCTTCCTTTGTGGTCATGGCAACCATCGGTCTGCAGCTTGCGTCTGTTCGGCTAGACTGACTGGACAGTTCCGTGTGTTTGAAAAATAAAGGCTGGCCGGGCGGTGGTGGCGCACGCCTTTAATCCTAGCACTCGGGAGGCAGAGGCAGGCGGATCTCTGTGAGTTCGAGACCAGCCTGGTCTACAAGAGCTAGTTCCAGGACAGGCTCCAAAACCACAGAGAAACCCTGTCTCGAAAAACCAAAAAAAAAAAAAAAAAAAAGAAAGAAAGAAAAATAAAGGCTGGAGGATTTCCTCTGTGGCTGCTGCTTTGTGTGTGTTTATGAGTGTGCGAGCAATATAGCCTGCCTACAATCCGGGGAGAGCAACTATGCTCTCTCTCCATCACGGAGTATGCTAGAGTATGTTCTCCGCCACGTATCTTCTTGAGAACAAGACTTTCAGGACCAAGTGATTCCTGACCAAGAAACAAAAGAAAACCATCCCTTTTCTTCCAAGACATGTAGGTGACAACTGGTGATGAAATCAGGTACAGTTTCACGCGGGCACCAGAAAGCAGGCTGGTGGCTCACGTCTGTAGACTACGGCAGGGTCACTTCATCTTACCATAGCAAGCTGGAAACAGCACCGCTGTCAGGAGGGTGGGCCTATCTTCTTGTTTGTTGTTTTGCTTCCATGCTCTACAGTAGTACTATGTTTGTAATACCTGAAATCCAACGAGAAAGTATGAGGGCAAAGAGGGACTCAGCAGATACTCAGGCTTCTGGGACTGCCTTTGCTGGGTGGCTTCTCCTGGCGAAAATCTAGCCAAACCGCGTCTGAATTTTGTAAACGAAATAAGGAACTTCACAACAAAAGCCCCACAGTTCACTCCGTTGTCAGAAGCATTCAGGCGATTTCCTGTTTATTAGGATGGGCTTTTCCTTTCCTTAAACTATCAGGATAGTTTCCTTTATCTCCTGCATTTAAGTCACGCTGGGGTCACCTCAGGCACTTTATTCAGAAATCTGCCCTGTCACGGCTTCTCTGAGGATATTTTGACAAGATGATGAAAGGCATCCGTCTAATGATGGAGTGGGTACCAGAGACAAAGCTGTGGGTTCTACTTTGTAAGCCGGAGCCTTTAATTACAGACAATTCAGTCTGTTTTATTAGAGTCTGGGTGAAAGTGATGCACTAAATCATGAGACTGGTTGTCAAAAAAACCTGAGAATTCTGCTCATTCCTGCTACAGTGCCATCTGCTGGCTGTCAACTGTCTGGTTACCGAGAGGAAAACTCAGGTTTGAAATGGAGAGACTGGAGAGGAGGGGGAAACCATCACCAGCAACCACAGATGTAACAAAGTTTAATGTAGGAAAGACTCTTGAGAAAACATACTTAAATTAAGAAATCGGGGCTGGAGAGATGGTTCAGTGGTTAAGAGCATTGCCTGCTCTTCCAAAGGTCCTGAGTTCAATTCCTGGCAACCACATGGTGGCTCACAACCATCTGTAATGAGGTCTGGTGCCCTCTTCTGGCCTGCAGACATACACACAGACAGAATATTGTATACATAACAAATAAATATTTAAAAAAAGAAATTACAGCATCAAAAAATAAAAGATACGTAGGAAAAACTAAGCTAAGTCAGACAATCACTCAGATTACATATGTGTAGGCATACACCCAGGGCATTCCAGAAACTAAAACAGGACTGTCGAGGTGGCTAAGAGCATTTGTTCCTCTTGCTAAAGACCTGAGTTAGGTTCACAATTGTCTGGTCCTCTAGTTTCAGGAGAGCCTGTTAGTGTGCCTTCCTAGTCAAAAAATCCCTCCTCACACTTAGAGGTAAAGGAAGAAAAGCTCTATACTAAAGTGTCTGGCCGACTGTGGTTAAAGCCTAAGTTAGAGTGGGCCTTGACAGAAGAGTTTCCTAACTCGTATACACAATAAGCTTCTGCATTCCACAGTGTCACCTTAAGTCTCTCTCGGGTCCCAGCCCCAGGCTACACTTCGATCAGTTTGAACAGACACAGGATACTACAAGTCTGGCTTCTTAGGCTCAGAAGAGATTTACAAAGCAGAAATGTAACCTATTGCCAGAATTATTTTAAGTACAGCAGTGTTGTTGTTTTTTGAATGGCTATTTGTCCACCTGGCAAAACTATGTCTTTCCGGTTAAGAACACAGCGCAGGGGACTTAATTGCAGAGCAGGACTTGATGGGGAGTGTGACCCTAAGACGCCCTCTTGAGCTCCCCTCTGAGAGGTATGTCTAATGGCAGGTATGACCAAATGGCAGCGGGTCAGTCCTGGTGAGGAAACATTCACATCCGGGCATCCTAAATTTCACTTGTCTAAGAGGCCTGGTTAGCATGCTACTTATCTTTGGGTGTTTTGAAGGCACTGTTCCTTTATCTATGTCCACCTGTGTGGCTTACTGTCTCCTAAGCAAATCTATCACTAAATCCTTTTTAACATCAATTTTATTACTTTGAGTAATCCCAGCACTTGGGAGGCAGATAAGGCAATTCTTGTCAATTCAGGACCAGTCTGGTATACACAGCAAATTCTGGGCCAACCAAGGCTGTGTACACACACACACACACACACACACACACACACACACACACACGTCAGGTCCAAAGGAAGCTCCAATTCCCTGAAAGGCAGTCCAGATATCTAGAAATGAGCTCAACCTGGACTACAGGAGATTTCTGGCACCTAGATAAAAGGCATCACTCCTCAGGAACTTGTAAAGCCGGTTACTGTCTGTCAAAGGGAGTCACTTCCTAGCAATCAATGCACGTGCTGGCCTCCAGGCTCCTACAGTAGCCCAGTTCCTGTGACACATTTCAAAGTCCACGCCAGCATCCTAGCCCTTCTCCCCTCCTCCGCTACTCTAAACTCCCTTCGGCTCAGAGCTTCCCTCCTGACAGCTACTCAGCCTTCTTGAAACCCAACTTTTTTCTCTGTGCTCCCTCCGTTCCTGCTCCTGCTATTTTCACAAGTCTTCTCTTCTCTCTCCCACTTCCCTAGCACTGGCCATGCCCCATCTGCGGGCTATATTCAGCCTACTGCTCTTTCTCTCTGCTTGGGCTCCGATAGATGCCTCTGGCTGTTCTCTCTCTCATATCAACAATAAAACTTTCCATACCTGGAGTGATCATGTCATCAGTTTATACATACGTGTTGTTTTCTCCGCTGTAAAATTTCTTTAGCATTGTATAACCTTTCTAGGGCTATTGGATTAAGTGAACTACTGTTTACAACAATAGTTGATATGAAGTATTACTCTATCAAGACTAGCTACCGAAGCCGGGCGGTGGTGGCGCACGCTTTTAATCCCAGCACTCGGGAGGCAGAGGCAGGCGGATCTCTGTGAGTTCGAGGCCAGCCTGGTCTAGAAGAACTAGTTCCAGGACAGGACCCCAAACCACAGAGAAACCTTGTCTCGAAAAACCAAAAAAAAAAAAAAAAAAAAAAAAAAAAAAGACTAGCTACCGAAGCTGGGCAGTGGAGGCACAGGCCTGTAATCCAAGCACTTGAGAGGCAGAGGCAGGTGGATCTCTGAGTTTGAGGCCAGACCGGTCTACAGAGCGAGTTCCAGGACAGCCATGGCCACACAGAGAAGCCCTGTCTCAAAAGCAAAAACAAAAAACAAAATATCAAAAACAAATGGACAAAAACTAGCTACCAGGGCTGGAGAGATGGCTCAGTGGTTAAGAGCATTGCCTGCTCTTCCAAAGGTCCTGAGTTCAATTCCCAGCAACCACATGGTAGCTCACAACCACCTGTAATGAGGTCTCGTGCCCTCTTCTGGCCTGCAGGCAGACAGAATATTGTATACATAATAAATAAATAAATATTTTTTAAGAAAAACTAGCTACCATCACTGATGTTCATTTTGTTCATTTGTGTAAAAGTTATTTACCAGTATTTATGATATGCTGGCACTTGTTAGGTTTTGCAGAAATAGCAACAAAAATAAGTCCCTGCCCCCAAGAGAACAAAACCTATTAGGTAAGACGGCTGAATATACAAATTTAAAAGTATACAGTCGTTGTACCTCTGACATTGTTTATAAAAGTATACAGTCGTTGTACCTCTGACATTGTTTTTAAAAGTATACAGTCGTTGTACTTCTGACATTGTTTTTAAAAGTATACAGTCGTTGTACCTCTGACATTGTTTTTGATTTTGTAGAATATTTTTAAATGAGAAATCAAATGAGAATCTGGCAGAAGGAGCATGCGTGAGCCTGTGGGTAGCTGGGGTCTGCACCTAGGTCTCTGCAGCATCGAAGCTGCCTTCACTTGTAATCACATTGCCTCATAGTTCAGTGCTCTCCGCCGTGCTGGTCTGTGGTGATATTTGTCCCAAGCATTGTTTCTGTCTCGCTGGAAAGCCCCCATAGCCTTGATGCCATCCATCCCTGCCGACGTGTTTCACACCAGGCTGAAGCTTGGGTCACTGGCTCTCTGAGCTCAAATGCAAGGAATAAATAGAGCCCCGCTAAACCGGGCGCCTCAGTTCACACTCCTTCATCAGTTCATTTCAGCCGACACCGGAGAGCTGGCAGTTCTGGCCAAACGCCTGTCAGCCCAGAACAGTGGCCTGTTTGTTAAGACTGCTGTGGTCATTGTGGCGAACACCAATCAGTCTTGGGGACCGTGACCGGAGCATTCTAGTGTAACCAAAGGATAAATTCAGTCCTGAAGGCATAGCTTGCAACAATAGCTTCATTTGAATGAGACCCATTTGAAAAGGGACGTCAAACAGGCATTCCCTACACTAGACAGACACATTTGTTTCCAGACTTCTAAAAGGAAGGAATGTGCCAGCCATAGGGAGTTGAGATGAATGAGAAACAGACTCCATTCTTAGTGAGTTTACGATTTAGTAGAAACAGATAA